TTTTCTGAAGCTGAGGACTGTATTAGTGATGACAGACATTTTCCCTCTCCTCTTAGACACCTGAATTCTAGTAATATTTCTTTTGTATTTTACAGCTATGCAATGAGTAGAGAATTTTGCCATCTGTGAAAAAGACTGCACAGTACATTTGTGTGAAGATTCGATGTCCTTGGAGTAGAGCTTAAGTGGAGCTGCATGCAGAGGGCATCAGAGAGGTAAGAAATGCTTTTTTTGGCCATATTAGTGTCAATATAAACACTGTGTGTGCTGGTGTTGTAAATATTCAAAACCAAGAAAAGGTTGGGGTAGATCTCTGAACAAATGCAAAATAGCCCATCACCTCTGCTTATGTATTATGGATACATTCCTGAGACCATTGCTCTGTGGCACCAGACAGTACTGTAGACATCAGATGAAGTTATGAATTCCATTCATATTCTCTATTTCTTTTACCGTGTTGGAAACTGTTATTCACTGCTTCCTCCTATGGCAGCTTTAAAATCTAACCATTCAGTCAACCTGTCCTTCAGGTAAGCACACAGCTCACAGAAGGGAGGGGCTGAAGAGCTGAATAACACTTTCAAAACAAAAATGAAAGCTTTCAAGATTTGCTTTGCAGGTTTTGAGGTTTTCATACAAGCTTGTACCTTAAAGTATCTCGTTCTGTACTGAGATAAATTACTTATACCTATAGGACAGTGTGTGATTTGGGACAGAACTCAACCAATTTTAAGTGGTTGAAACTGGATTTTTCTGTTCTGCTTCTATTTGAAGCAAATTTTTCTTTGCTGTTATTTTCTATTTTGCTTCTGATATGCTCCTGACTGTTTGGAATACTCAGAAGCCTTTAGATAAAAGACGCTGCAACACAGCAGCCTGTGGCTGGCTGATGCTTATTCAGCTATGTTCAACTACTGGCTTTGCCACGGACCTTTCAAGTGATCTTGCTCAATTAAATTAAGCTATGTGTCAAATGAAAACACTGGAGATTACTTGTACGATCTTTTTGCTGTCTACTTAGCCTGTTGGGTATTCGATTGTAATATAGTGGTTGTCACAGATGAACAATGGCAAAATGAAGCCCTGATCTTGAATGGGGCCTGTAAACAACACTGCAGAATAACAAATTAATAGTTTGACATCGTGATGTTAGAACTTGGTGAGTCTATTTTAAGTGAGGGGACACCTGGTCCTCTGTAGTCTGAGATATCCCTGGGTCAAGGAGTTTTAGTCAAATTGGTCAGGTGAGCTTTGCTGCTTCATATCAGGCCCGGTTCCTCCAGGCACTATATAAGCAGTATCTTGAGAATTTACAGGCATCAGAAACTGCCTTGAAGATTTTTTGCATAGAGGCAATCTGTTTTCTTCACGCTGCTGGTGAAGGCTTGCCTGCCACAGTAGCTCTGCCATCCTCCACTCTGAAGCACCTTTCTTCCCCTTCTGCTGCTTTCCTAGCCACCCATTTACGTGATGGGATGGGATAGAGAGCAGCAAGGGTTGCTGCAGAAAGGAGAAGCATGGTAGAATCAAACTCTGACATCCTTTATATCAAATTAAATCAAGTGCTGTTATTTAAAGATACCCTCCTGCCAGGTGTAGATTGGCCTAGGACTGAGCTGCTGAGAGTGCTGGGGACAATTAAAAAATTCAATTCAAACCCACCAGTATTTAAATTCAAGCCATCTTTGCTTTGCCTGCAGATGACCACAGCATCATTGGCAGCAGCTGTGCAGCCTGTGGGCAGAGTTCTGCTGCTTGTGTGTGTGCCAGGAAAGCTCTCCCCAGCCCCAGTGGAGGCACTGGGCCATGGCTGGCACTCTGCAGACTTCTCCACAGAGCTGCTCTCTACAGAGAACGTGTGTGGAACTATCCCACTCTCATCGCTGTCTTGTGAAGTGTTTAATCATTCCACCACACATAATATATGGAGTTAATAACTTCATGTGATGTCCTTCACACCTCAGCAGGTAAACAGGCTCTTTTTTGAACAATGTATTAGGTGTACATCATATGACCTTGTATCACCTAGATGCTGTCACACAGTAGTTTTACAAGCTTCAAACAACAAGAAATACCTTGGACACCTCAGGCATTATTTTAGAAACGTCAGGCACCAGTCTGTGTTGCTACTACAGTGTTAACTGTTTACCATTAGGTGCTGTTAACCAATCCAAATATCTAACAGTATGGGAAATTGGAGCAGGCTGCCCAGAGAGGTGGTAGATGCCCCATCCTTGGAGACATTAAGGTAAGGCTTGATGGGGCTCTGAACAATCTGATCTAGTTGAAGATGCCCTGGCTTACTGCAGGGGTGTTGAACTAGAAGACCTTTAGAGGTCCATTCTGAGCCAAAGCTTTCTGTTTTTCTATTATTCTATGAAACATTCACTGCTTGCAAGGCTCTGTTTTCACATAAAGTGCAGGCTATAGTTTGAGTAACAGGTCAGTGCCTATGAATCCAGCTACATAAGTAAGTAGTACTCACTACATAAGTGAGCCTCAACATCCAGGCAATGCAAATCTTGTTTTAACAGTTCAGTTCTGATCTTATTTATTTCTTACTTTTCTTTTGCACACATACAGATCTTTCCCTAATCGGAAGCTAAGAGATGCAGGCAATCTATTTTGCCGCTAGTGGTGTGTAATAATTATCAGAAACAGAACTGCAGCAACAGTGATACTGAGTCCATTTTGTTAGTTTACTAAGTGTGCTTTGTTCCTTCTTAAAATATATATGCTTGTATATGTATATAAAAATAGTCTCTCTTAATTATTGCAGAAATAGGTAAGTTGCTGTTACTGTCAATACTTCATGGATATTGTGGTAACAGCTGATTTTAGAGCACTGATGGTGGCAAAACAGTTCCACATTGAACCAAAATTACACGTATTCTCAGGATACCAGTGTGGAATTGCACTGAACTCGTAGAGTTCTTAGTCCTGTAGTTCTCAGAGAGGACCAGGGTAGGTAATGGAAGGAGCTTTATAAAGCAAGGGATTTCTGAGAAGAGTCGTTCTGGAGCTGACTGCTAAAGTACTCAAGAGTCTGGCATCTCTTGCACTTTACAGATGGGTAGTTAGCATATTGCTTACAGCAGGAGACACACAATATTGTTTTGTTCTTTCCCTCTTGATATGGGATGCCACAAAGACATCTACTTATGAGGAAGTTTGCTGCTTGGACATGAGTTGAGATAAGCATTTGCAACCTGAGGGGAATGGATGATAAAACCATACGCTTATGTGCCAAAGATACCATAGGAAAGAGACAGTCTATCAGTCACGTGAATTGTGATTGGCCTGTTGCAATGGAATAGCCTTTAACAAAAACAAGCAAGCTATTTACCTTCTGAGTGGATTTTACATAGTTGCACAAAAGGGAAAAGAAAGAATAAGAGAGGAGAGAGGAGAATAGAAAAGAAGAGAAAGGTTCCCACCAGCTCTTCCCCTCCAAAATTAACATTGGCACTGGTGAAGTCACACACAAAGGAAAGTCTGACTTTCTTTGTGCCTCTCACAATGACATCAACATGCATGGCTATGGGATGATGAGGGAATACCTCACTCACAATGAGCAACAGATCAGAATTCTCTTCAAAGTAAAAAAATGAAAACATAAGACCATCATAGGTATAAGCTAGCTCTTTCAAAACTTCTCTTTGACTAGGTGTCAGTTGAAATCACTCGACTGGCAATCTGTTCTACCTAATACAACATGGGGGGGCATTCTGAATAGGCTGAAGAATGTCTACGAGGCAACTTGGCTGGAACATCTGCCGAAAATGAAGTTGGCTTTGTTTTCAACACGGTTATCTACTTTGAAATTACTCCATAGAATAAATAGTGATATTCCATGGGTAGAGGTAGATTATGGGGTTTAAATAATCAAATCGGAGCCCCGTAACTTTATGTGCTATAGCAGGATTCTCATAAAACTGAGATATTCCCATAATTAACCACTAGCCATGGGATATTACAATATATTCCATGGTGACTAGTATTTTTTTCATTTCCCTCCCCCCTCTCCTCAGAATTAGTGTGATTAATTTTGCTCTGGTTTCACCTATTGCTAACAGGAATCGGTATAATTAACAACAAGAACACTGTGTTATGAGGCGATCACTGTTCAGGCCAAACTGGCCAGCAATGACCAGTCAGACCTTTTGCAGTTGGCCTTTGCTGCTAGGAGGTTGAAAGAGCTGTAACTCACCAACCCATACTTGCAAAAGGAGCACGTTTTAGAAAATGTGGTTCAAAACTCTTCATAGTTCTAAATGCTAAATTCTAGTGGAATATTATAGGATAGATTGATTTGCATGCCATGGAATAAACATCCTTACATCTAGTCTTGTCTCAGAGTGAGTCATTTTGCATTAGTGTCAAGAATTTGAGCTGTTGTTCTACTTTGCAGTTAATCATCAGAAAGAGACGGGATTGTCTCATGAATATGCACGATGGTATAGTTGTCCCTTCAACTTACTAGGCACCTAGTTTCTGTAATGAGATGTACAATATCTGCCATTTAAAACAGCTGAAAGGTCCCAAATGGGAACAAATGAGAAAGCATCTGGATGTTTCGAATTCCAGCCCTGTTTTGTCAGAAAACTCTGTAATTGCTGAGTACTTGGCTCCTACTCTGCTCTATGAAGCATTCAGCTCTCAGGAGCCTCTGAGATGCATTACACAGTCCAGAACTCTCAAAATTCTTCCACTAGATGTAACAGCTCTTCAAAATATCTTGAGACTTGTATGCCCTTAACCAGGACCAAAGTTTGGGCTCCTAGAGCGTGCTCTCATCCTCAGTTTTGCTGATCAGCCTCCACTGTACCATTTGTCCCTGCAACCTAGACTTCACACATATTATTCACTGTGTGATGGTGGGACTAGAATGGATAAATGTGCTACCCATTGCTCTAAGAAAGCAGTCTGGCTGAATCTTAAATCACTACGCGGGATGGAGGTTAACGGTCAGATGGACATTCCTCTAAGAGGTTTCCTACCTGCTCTGTTAATTTCTAAAATTTCTTCTTGGGCCAGTGGGCAAGTGTCGCTCTGAGTACTGTGGTGTGGAGAGTTTACGACAGATTTACAATAATTGGGGGATCCCAGCTGGGGTGGCCTCGGGATATGCTTCTTTTTTTTCTTTGGTAGCTTCTGCTTAGCCATAGCTAAGGAGTAATACATTCCGAAATTGTTCACAATGACAGGGACAGGCATGGCAATGGTCAGCACGCCGGCGAGAGCGCAGAGGGCCCCCACCAGCATGCCTGACCAAGTCTGAGGATACATGTCTCCGTAGCCCAGGGTCGTCATGGTGACAACAGCCCACCAGAAGCCGATGGGGATGTTTTTAAAGTGTGTGTGTTCACTGGCACTAGGGTCATTTGGTTTAGCACCTATTCTCTCGGCATAATAGATCATCGTGGCAAAGATTAAGACGCCCAATGCCAAAAATATGATGAGCAGCAAGAACTCGTTTGTGCTGGCGCGGAGAGTGTGTCCCAAGACCCGCAGCCCAACGAAGTGGCGGGTCAGCTTGAAGATTCGCAGGATTCGCACGAAGCGGACTACGCGGAGGAAGCCCAGGACATCCTTAGCAGCTTTGGAAGACAGGCCACTGAGTCCAACCTCTAGATAGAAAGGCAGTATGGCCACAAAGTCAATGATGTTCAAAGAGTTTTTGATAAATTCCACCTTGTTGGGGCAGAACGTGACTCTCATCAAGAACTCAAATGTAAACCAGACCACGCAGACACCTTCAATGTAGGTGAGAAAGGCTTCAGTCTCTGCTTCCCTGTAGTGCCGCACCTGCGTGTCATTCCCGATGAATTCAGTTTCTGTCTTGTTCACAATGGGGTTAAATCTCTCGTGGGTCTCGAGGCAGAAGGTGGTGATGGAGACCAGAATGAAGAAGAGGGAGGCAAATGCCACATACTGTGGAAAGAAAGACATGAGAGAAATGTTAAACAGTAGGTTAAGCACAGGAGCTTGGATTCCGAAACACCAGGAGAGACAAGAACTGTATTAAAAATGAAAGATAATGCTGTATTAAAAATAAAGGTAATGCTGAGCCTTCTTCCTGTGGGCTTAAGATGCCAAGTCTCACCTGCCAAGACAGCCTAACATTCCAGCTTGGAGGGACAGTGGTACAGAAGTACATGTTAACATCCACTCCTATACAGATAACACTTTGGTGGGAGTGTAAATTTAAGGAAGCATTTAAATCTCAGAGCTTTCTGTGGGATTTAAGGTTAAGGACACACTGAAATTCTGCTTTCCTGAACTTGGTCTTTTGTTACTTCCTGGTCTTAAAGACAGAACACACTTTCTAGGATAACTGTCGTGCAAGAGTCTTTTTGCAGCACTGTGTCAGTAGTATGGTGGCTGCTGCTGCTCCCAGCTTAGTGACAGTTGTGGTAGCCCAGATCTCAGCAAGGTGCTAGTAAATATGAGTAGCAGTCTCAAGTGGGCCCTACAGCAAGGAGCAGAGTCCTGCTTGGCACCATCAGACTTTCTTGCCAAATTGCAGGGACAGGCTGAGGGGCAGGCACAGATCAAACAGAGCTCTCCTAGAGTAAACATCTCTGTTCTCAGTTCCCTTCTCCAGATCTTTTGTAGGTGGGGGACAGGGTTAGGGACAGGGAAGAAAGGGGTTTCAGGTAAGCCTGTCAGCTGATCCAGAAGGAGACAGATCTTTTGGATTTTGCCAGACAAGGTTTTCCTGAAAAGGTTCTCTTTACAGTGTAAGACTTTTATCAGAACTAGACAAATCTTTTTTAAGGCTGTTGGATTACAATTTGGTTAATCGAGTTGCAGTGAATGTGCTAGCAGCCCCCAAAGCAATGGGTGTTTATCTTAGGAGTGTTTGCCTCTTCTGCTTCAGTTCCTGCTTTCCACAGAATCATAGAATACTTTGGGTTGGAAGGGACCTTTAAAGTGCTTCTAGTCCAACGCCCCTGCAGTGAGCAGGGACAGCTTCAACTAGAGCAGGTTGCTCAGAGCTCCATCCAGCCTGACCTGGAAAGTTGTCAGGGGCATCTACCACTTCTCTGGGCAACCTGGGTCCAGTGTGTCACCACCCTCAGAGTACAAAATTTCTTCCTTCTCTCTAGTCTAAACATCTATCGTTTAGTTTAAAACCACCCTCCCTTGTCCTGTCACAACAAACCCCACTAAAAAGTCTGTCTCTATCTTTCATATAAGCCCCTTTTAAGCACTGAAAGGCTGCAGTAAGGTGTCTCTGGAGCCTCCTCTTCTGCAGGCTGGGCAGCTCCAGCTTTCAGCTTTTCTCTGGCTTTCCTCAGCCTAAAGGAAATCTCTTCCTTGTATTCCAGGATAATTGAGGGGTACAGTCAGGCCAAAATTCACGACTTTTGTAACCATGGTTCCTCTGCTCAATCCTCCTCTAATCAATTAAGCAGTTTGCCTGTATCTAAGAAGTCTTTTCCTGTGTTGTAGTGGTACAGCAATAGTAATACCTCTTCCCATGTCACTCCCTACATCTGTTATCTTCCTGTTTGCCTTGCGTGTCACCTTGACAAGAGACATCACATATTATTTCACTGTTGTGTGAGCAACTGTAATAGTTAAAATATTATTCAAATATTCTTCTAATGTCCTGTTATTCAAAATTTCCCTTTTTCAGCAATGTAGCCAAAATAGGCTTTAAAAAGAGCTGGTTTCTTCTAATTGTCTGTTGCCAGTAAATGCAGTGCAATAATCTAAAAGGAACTGCTGCCAAAGGAATAGACCAGTTAAAAATAACCTATGCTTCAAGCTAACAAAGCTCTCCTGCAGTCAAGAAGTTCCTCCTGTCTGCATTCTTGGGTAGACCTAGTGCAGAATTACGCTTGACCTGCTGTATTAGCAAACAAGTCAAAAGCAAGGATTTGCCAGTTTGATGTGAACTGTTTAACAGAATACAGAGAAACTGGCAGAGAATAAACTCTCAGAATCGTTTAGGTGGGAAGGGCCCTCTGGAGGTCGTTTGGTACAACTTCAAAGTTGGACCAGGTTTCTCAGGGTCTTGTCCCATCCAGGTCTGAATATCTCCAAGGTTGGAGATCCCACAGCCTCTCTGGGCAGCTTGTGCCACTGTTTGGCCAGTCAGAGCAAATAAGCTTGAAAGGATACAGAAGCAAACAGGCTTTTCTGCTTTCCAAGTCCAACTTCATTGTCAGAGATCTGCACCTAGCCATTGTCACAGATTAAAAATCCCAGTACCCTAAATGCTTCCAGCCATCATAGCAGTGTTAGGTAATGATCTAATACCCGTGCGGATACGTGCTAAAATCAATGTCTAATACAAACAGTTATCTGGAAGAGATACAGTCTGGAGGGTAGGGAAACTGAGAAGCAGGATGATGGGTAACTTTTTACCAGATTCTCCTGTTAAACAGGGAAATTTCTCCATGCATCTGTAAAATAGGTAAAAAAAAAGCCAGCTGGTGTTTGTCATGTGCTTTGTGATCCTCGATAAATGTGTACAGGTTCTATATGCTTTCATTGTAATGTTACTGACTTTAGCATATCAACAGGCTCCCCGAAAAATAAGGTGAGGAGTCTTTAAAGTGGTCAAGGTCAGTTTTTGTGATATTGTTAACACTCAGAGCTTGATTAAGTAGAGGGTAATCCCCTAGTTGTCTGAGTAAAATGAAAACGAAAAGCATCTTGCACTGAGAACTCAGGAGAATGTTCCTAGCAGCCTCAGCATGTCTGCTCTGTTTCAGCCTGGGGCAGATTTTTACTGCCCCGAGAATTCAAGCTGCAGGAGGAGATGCTGACACTCTCTTAAGTCAGGTATCACTCAGATAAGAAGCAGAGAGGAGAATTAAACTATTTTACTTTTAAGGGGTCTTAAGGTGAAGAAGTGCCCTGTCTTAATGGTGACTCAAAATGTAATTCACCTCTTGGTGTATAATGAATATTGCTCCCGAGTGAGTTTTTCCTGCTTAGGACAACCTTCAGGCTGACCTTGCAAAGCAAGTATCTTGAAAAGTGATCTTTTGCTGTGTTAAAGGGAAGAGATAACCAATTCTGACAGGACATTTAAGTGCTCTACATGCCTGCAGTGTTATCAGCAGAGAACATCACCCCCATGTTCTTTCTTACTGTTAGTCCTTGTGTGTGCACACCTTGGCTTCAGAGGGGAAATGAGAACGTTTAGTCCCCAGTTCAGCAGAGCGGGAAGCTAAATGGGTGTGAGGAGTTTGCTTCCTTCTATCTGTTTAACAACACCCAGAGCCCTTTCCCAGGGATGGGTATGCACCTGAATGCTTTGCAGCTGTGGAAGTATGGGTCTGCATTCGAGATTTTATAAAACCATGTCTGAGCAGTGCTATTGACAGGAAGAATCCCAGTATTTTTTCTTTTTTCTTTTTTTTTTTTAATCTCTTGAATTACTTTATAATCCTAAAACCTATTTTATATTTGGGAGGTAAAAACACCACTTAGGTATTCCATGCTTCAATAGTAAAAGGCCCTTGGTTTTTGTTTTAGAAGAAAGTCTTTACAGTTTCTCCTGCAAGTCTTCACAGTTTCTTCTGGGAGGAGGAGACACTGGAGAGCAGCCTTTTATTAAAGGTCCCATTACAGCTCCCCAGTCTCCTGGCTGATCCAAAGGGCAGAAATACCTGAGGATCAGGCTTGATGGTTCGTTCACTGGCATCCAACTCTGATGTGCTCAGGTGACAGAATTTAGCAGCTTGCCACAAATGAATATGTTTCATCATTGGCATGTAATTTATGTTTGTGATCCCCAATTTATATTGCCTCCACTGTTTTTTTCTTCTGAATATTTCTCTTTGTTAATTATCTGACATAAGATCTAGCTGTGAGCAAAATCCAGCAGCACCAAATGCAGCGGGTATGTTTTACTGAAGAGACCAACATTCATTCATGCCAAGGGGTCAAAAAAAGAGCTCTCACTGGCCCAGCACCAGAGCCCAGGAGAGATCAACCTTCGTGTCTCTAACATGATAGTTTGTCAAATCCAGGGATGAGCAATGCTGGGAAAACCTAGTGAAGACTATGGGACTAGAACGTGCTCAAATGTCTTTGAAAATAAGGCCATCTCTTTTTATTTCACTAATAATGGCCTGAACACTAATCAAACCAATGGATTGCTCTTGTATTATTTAGTGGGTCTTAATCTTTCTCCTTACATTTTACAACAGAATTTTTCTTCTTCCTAGGATCTGAATGGACTGGAGGAAATGAATGAAGATTTTATGAAGTGATGTCACATGCTGCTGAGTTGCATAGTGCCAACTAAAATTTTCTATAATTAAAGAAAATACCTAGGTAAAGTAATAAAAAATGTTTTATCTACTTTGACTGCTGTGAATGATTCCTATTTCAGCAGAGATGTTGCTGCTATTGCTTTTTTCTGGCTCTAATACCAACAAATTAAAATCACAGATTGTCCAAAACTGCAGAAGCCATAAGAGAAGGCAGAAAGGAGATTTTAAAAGGGGATATTTTGATTAAAATATAAGTTACATTAAAATTTTCATCTATTGCAAAAGGTGCTCTTCTCCCTGCACCTCCACTGCCCCATGTCTAACCCAGGCAGTTTGCCAGGGCAGTGGGAACAGAGAGTGCCAGTTAATTCAGAATAGTTGTGTTTCATGTCAGCTTTGCCTAGCTGGAAAAGGAGAGAATCAGACCTAGCACGTTGTGATTAATAAGCCAGTATCCTTTCACTCAGCATAGAAAGAAAACAAAAGTCAGCAGTCTTAAAAGCAGCAATAAACCTTCTAATAGATGAGGATGAGGAGGCTAAGCTCACTCAGAAGAAAGATCTGAGGACTGGACCAGACAGTATTAAATAGACAGGTGTGACTGTTTGTTTCTGGGAATCAGCTTTTAAAACAGCACTTTACCTTGCATTTCTGAGATAGTTCTGGTCTTGGAGATAAGAACCCTTTTTTATGCTTTGTTTTAAACAAATA